GCTACACAACTCTACACGATGCTACACAACTACACAACTCTACATGATGCGTGTGTCCCTGTGCAGCAGTCCTGGACTGTGTGTGTCGGTGTTGTGTTGCAGGGCTGCAGGCCGGTGACAACACCCTGAACGTTGTGTGTTCTCTGCGAGCGGCCCGGACTCTGGTGTCCGGAAGGTTCTCTGATGTTTCCTGTCCGGAGGCTCGAGCCGCCGTGCTGGCCGACTACGTCCACTTCCTGACCACGCCCGGCTCGCACAGCGACTCGTACGCCGAGTCCTTCCACCGAGCGTTCTTCTCCGACTGGCAGGACGACCGGCCGACGACGCCGGGCGACGTAAGAACAACGCTGCAGGAACGCTGTCAGAAACGCTGCAGGAACGTTTCTCAGCAACATTGCTAGAATGTTATCAGAAGCGTTGCTGGAATGTTATCAGAAGCGCTGCTGGCACGTTGTCAGAAACGTTGCAGGAACGTTTCTCAGAAACGTTGCTGGAATGTTATCAGAAACGTTGCTGGAACGTTCTCTCCACGTCTCTCAGATCCTGCTGTTTGCGGAGAACCGTTCGCGGCTCAAGCTCAGCTCTTCGGTCCCCGACAGTCAGCTGGACGCCATCGGCTGCCTTCCCATGATCCTCCCCTTCGTCCTGCTGTCGGCTTCAGCCAATGAGGAGCGAGCTGTGAGTGACCCCAACGTCGTCGTGCCTGAAGCCTTTGTTTCCGCCTGTCTGACCTCTAGCTCACCTGTCGCAGGTGTCGGCGGCGGTGGAGTTCGTGAAGCTCACCCATCCCCACCCCAAAGTGCCCGACTACGTGTCCATCTACAGCCGGGCGCTGCACGCCGTGGTGGGCGGAGCCAGCGTCCGCCAGCAGGCCGAGCACGCTCTGAAGGTGCTGGACGCCTGGGACACCTGCCAGAGCTTCATGCGGAAGGCAGCCAGGTGAGCTCGTCCACAGGTGAAGGTGTTCCTGAGTCCAGAACCAGGACACGATGGTAACTGTTGTTGTGTTTGTGTTGGAGGCTTCCTGGTTCCTCTGAGGACAGACTGAAGGTCCATCAGAACGCTGTGAACCACCTCGGCCTCGCCTGCTACACCAAAGGTCAGACACCACTGGTCCTCAGAACCTCAGCAGAACTGGACCTCTGCTTCTGGGTCTGGTTCTGAAGACAGTTCACTATAACGCTTGCAGAACACCTGTAACTGTGTAACTGAAGTCTCTCCTGAAATGTCTTCAAGAACCAAAAGTGCAGCTGTTTTCAGTGAAGTTCTGAGGATGAGACATTTAATGTTCCAACAGGAGCTCTGTCCAGTTTGTTCTACTTGGCCCATGAGTTCCACGACGACCTCCGAGGAGGAATCCTGACGAACACCAACTGCGGAGGTTCGATCGTCTGTTTTTATTCGTTCCTTTGTACAGTCACAGAATCCAGAGCGAAGCTAAAACGTCTCATTTATAGATTTCTCTTTGGCTCGTGAACTCGGCAGCTGAGCGGGACGTCGTTCCCGCCGCTCAGCGCTGAGCTGTTTCCTGTCCGGCTCAGGTGTTCCTTTGTGTTGTCCAGGTGAGAACTGTAACCGCGGGGCGGCGCTTGGAGCGCTGCTCGGTGCCGCCGGGCCTGGTACTGGCACCGGCGTCCCTCAGCAGTGGAAGGACGAACTGAGAGACGGCCAGGAGTTCATCCCCGACATCCTGAAGGAGCTGCAGTGAGGGCGCCGCCCCAGAGGGCCGGAGGGGAACAGCAGCCTCAGAGACCTGCCTGTTTACAATGACTCGGGTTTCTCCCTGGTCCGGGACTCGGGTTTCTCCCTGGTCCCCCGTGTTGTGCTCCTGTTTCAGGACCTGCTTCATGTGTTTTGGTGTTTGTGTGATGGAATAAAATGTAAAGTATTAAGCAGCAAAGCATCAGCATTACATGAAACATATTTATGAGCTGTTTGAACACCAGCAGCCTTAAACGAACAAACCCACCTGTAATAAAGAATAAATCACTGGACTCACTGTTTCCTTCAGTGTTCAGAACCAGAGACGCTGACCCGTTACGCTCACTGGTCTCTGTTCATTAGGAAGCAGGTTCTCGCTGTAGACCCGCTGAACAGCAGCAACGCTGGAAGATGTTTCTGTTGGAAATGAACTGAGAAGCCCTGACGGCTGCAGCTGTCGCGGTTAATCAGTTAATCAGGAGTTTGAACAAACAGGTTCTGAACCTGAACCTGCCTCAGAAATGGGCCTCAGACTTTGGCAGCTCGGTGTTTGTTTCAGCGTCTGACCTTTGATCAGTTCACAACAAACATGGCGTCCGTCAGCAGAGAAACGAAGCGTCTCTTCTTCTTGCTGCTCATCGTGGCTTCAGTCCCAGAATGCACTGGGACCCCCGGAGGTCAGTCCTACGTCTTCTGTTCTTCTTCACCTCCATCTGTCTGTTTCACCCATCGAGCAGCGTCCAGGTCACGTCAGCAGCTTCTGTGTCAGTCTGTAGGTCCAGGACGCCCCGTCCTGCCGGTTCCAGGAGGAGCTTTAGAACCGCTTTCATCTTTCAGGAACCGTCTCTATAGAACCTCTCTGTCTGTCTGTAGAACCTCATACAGAAACAGTCTCTGCAGAACGTCTTCCAGGAACTGTACTTTTAGAACCTTTTCCAGAAAACATCTCCGTAGAACCTTTCTCAGGGTTGCTTTCAGTGGAGAACAGAGTAAGAACTAAAGGCCCGTCATGGGCCTGATCGGTACTTCAGGGGTGAGATAAATATGTAGAACTCCCCAGGAGTCGGTCAGAACTGAAACAGGCTCTTGGATGATGATGATGAAACATCTTCAAGAAGCCAAAACAGAAGTTCTGGTCCGTTTTACTGTTGCATTCAACAAAAGGTCTTTTTCTCTCTCTCTTCTTTTCTAACTTCTAAAATAATTGTCTGTGAATAAAATCCATCCGGTGTCGGTTCCGCTGCACAAACGCATGTCGATGTTTGGGTCGTCCCTGTTCCAGGTGGAGGCGAGGTGTTCCTGGACAGAGCCGAGGCCGACGTCTTCCTGCGTCGCAGCCGCCGGGCCAACTTCCTGCTGGAGGAGCTGAGGCAGGGGAACCTGGAGCGCGAGTGCATCGAGGAGAAATGTTCCTACGAGGAGGCCAAGGAGATCTTTGCTTTGCCCCAACAGCTGGTCAGTGCAGCCGCGAGCCGCCGGTCCTCTCACGGTTCTCCATTTGTGCATTAACTTGTGTTTTCTCTGTGCTCAGGAGAACTTCTGGAGAACCTACACAGGTACGTGTTTGGACTGATAAATCCCTCAGCGACCGGCGGCCGGTTGTCTGATGGTCACTGCTTCCTGTTTCAGCGGTGGATCGCTGCCTGTCGTCTCCCTGTAAGAACGGAGCGACCTGCACTCGTCACGTCGACACCTACATCTGCAAGTGTCTGCCTGGTTTCCATGGATACAACTGTGACAAAGGTAACAGTGACGACGAACCAGAACTTCACCACAAACGCGTTCAACTTCTGAAGCTGCTGTTTGTCTTTCCGCAGTGCGTCTGACCTCCAACGGATGTCGCTATAGAAACGGCGGCTGCGAACATTTCTGCCGCGAGTTTCCGGATCGTTCTCACTTGTGTTTCTGTGCTCCGGGTTACAGTCTGGATCAGGACAACAGCACCTGCCGGCCCGAAGGTCTCAGCGGGGCCCAGACCCATCGGGTTGCACCTCCACACTGGCAGATCACTGATGCAACATGAGTGTCGCTTAGCAACCACTATCAAATGGAAAACCATAGCAACCGCTTAGAATCCATAGCAACCACCTACAATCCATAGCAACTACCCAGAATCCGTAGCAACCACCTAGAACCCATAGCAACCACCTTCGGTCCATAGCAACCAGCCAGCGACGCTACATCAGCCCCCAGTGTTACACTCAACAACACCACATATGAAGCTGTTCTACCGTCTGAGTCATCTTTAAAGCAGCCTGATCAACATGTTGGAGTCGCAGCAGAATCTGATCCATTTGTTTGTGTGCAGATGCTGTTGTCTGTGGGCGACCTCTGGTTCACTTTGCCCCAAGGGTAGTTAACGGGAAGATCTGCCCCAAAGGCCACTGTCCGTGGCAGGTAGGTGTGTCTGTGAAGGAACTGGCGTTTACTAATGTTTACGTCTCGGATCAGCAACAGAACCGCTGTTCATTCTGTTAGTACTGAATACTGAGAAATCCAGTTGAATTTAATCCTGATTAGTCTCAGCTGGGATCAGTGACTGAGATTATTGACCCATTCAGGCTCTGCTGACGGAACACAACGAGTTCACCTGTGGAGCCATCGTCCTATCGGATCAGTGGATTCTAACGGCAGCTCACTGCGTTTGGCTCAAACCTGTTGCCATCTTCCACGTCACCGCAGGCAAGACTCCCCCGTTGATCGTGTTCATGCTCTGAATAAGCTGTATGTTCTGATGTTCCACAGAGATCGTTTTTGGGCTCAGGCTGAAGTAAACCAGGCTGAAATAAACCAGAATAAATAATCCAGGCTGAAATGAACCAGGCTAAAATAAACCAGAATGAAATAAACCAGGATAAAATAAGCCAGAATGAAATAAACCAGGATATAAAAAGACAGGATTAAATAAACTAGGCTAAAATAAACCAGGATGAAATAAACCAGGATGAAATTAACCAGGCTGAAATAAACCAGGATTAAATAAACCAGGATAAAATAAACCAGGATGAAATAAACCAAGATGAAATAAACCAGGCTGAAATAATCCAGGCTGAAATAAACCAGGCTAAAAAATTCCAGGATGAAATAATCCAGGCTGAAATAAACCAGGCTAAAATAAACCAGAATGAAATAAACCAGGATATAAAAAGACAGGATTAAATAAACCAGGCTAAAATAAACCAGGATGAAATAAACCAGGATGAAATAAACCAGGATGAAACAAACCAGGTTCAGTACATGTTCCTTCTGTTCCTCCCTGTGCAGGTGAACACGACCTGAAGGAGGACGAGAAGACGGAGCAGCGGCGGCGGGTTCTAAAAGTTGTGATCCACGACGGCTACAACCACTCGAGCTCCGACAGCGACCTTGCGCTGTTGAAGCTGCACCGACCGGTCAAACTGGGCCGCCACGTGGTGCCCATCTGCCTCCCCGCCCGGAACAGCACCTTCGGCCGGACGCTGGCCACCGTCCGCCACTCCACCGTGTCCGGCTGGGGCCGCTTGGCCCAGTTCGGCCCGGCGGCCCAGTTCCTGCAGCGGCTGGTTCTGCCAAGGGTTCCGCTGCAGGAGTGCCGCCTCCACACCAAACTCAACATCACCAGGAACATGCTGTGCGCCGGGCTGCGGAGCGGCGGCCAGGATGCCTGCGAGGGCGACAGCGGTGGCCCGCTGGTGACCCGATACAAGAAGACGTGGTTCCTGACGGGCGTGGTGAGCTGGGGGAAGGGCTGCGCCAACGAGAACATGTACGGCGTCTATGCCAAGGTCGGCAACTTCCTGGACTGGATCGAGGACGTCATGAGGACGGGCTGAAACCAAAGAGGAGCCAAAGTTACTGAAAAGAAAGTTCATGATTAAACAGTCGTCCACATCCACCGTGTCTGTGTGAAACTCTGTTCACTCGCGAGTCCGACCTCAAAAGTCTGTCTTTAATCTCAGTTTCCACTTCAATCTCAGAGTTCCCATTTCTTCCTTAGACTTTTGACTTAATGCTCAGAATGAGAGTAAAGATGCAGGTCGTAGGTTTCATCCTGACATCATGAAGGTGGGTCTGGTCTGTGCAGGTAAGGGGGCGGGGCTTGTCTGTCCTGGAAACCGACTCTGAGGTTTCTGTGATATTCCGTTGCTGAAATGTTTTCCTGTCGACAGTAAACCTTTAGTTCCCACAATCTGGATGTTGATTCGACGTTTGTTTTCCAGGAAGACGAAGTTCAAGAGTTGATTTTCAGATCTGCCGAAACTTCACAAACATTTATGTTTCTGGTTCAGAAACTGGAAACTCCGACGTAGCATGAGGCTTTGAACACATCACAAACCGATTTCTTTATTCCAACGTCTGATGCGGATCCTGTTTTTATATGAACTCATACTTTTGACTTAATATCACACGTTACACGTGAATATTATTTGATCTTTAGTCGTAGAACAAACTGAGAGAAGCTGTGATTCAAAAACTGGAAAGTTAAATACGTGAATGATGAAATCAATAATACGTTAAAATACGTTCATATCATAAAACTGCATGAATATAAATTATAATGAGTAAAAAAAAATACAGTTTTTGAATTCTAACTAATATTTATTCAAAAGTTAACAGAACAAAGTGGATGTTTGGATAAAAATAAAGTCAGGATTTTGGAAGAAGCTTAAAATTTGAGTGAAACTCTTTGTATTAAATGATTACAGCGTGAGTGAGATCATAAACGAGCTCATCGCTCTTCAGGCCAACAGACTTCAGTAATTAAATGACGTTTATTCAGATCTCTGCCGAACGTCGAGGACAAACTCCATGTTTTCGTCACACTGGGCAGGAAAAGGTTTGCCCAAAGCGATCAATAAGTCCGATCAGCGGCGTCATGTGATCAAACAGACTTTAACCTGCAGAGCAGCAGCAGCGATGATCCTCAACGTCTTGGTCATCTTCGTCTTCATCGTCCACAACTGCCGAGCAGCTGCAGGTCAGCAAACGTCCACGAGACGAACTTCATCTGTAGTCTGTGTTCCATCGGGAGCAGATTATTACGTTAATCTGACGTTAATCTGAGATTTATCCGATCGTTATCCGACCCGTAGGACCAGGCAGAACTGTTTGGTCCCAGACAAACCGGCTCTGATCTCAATCTCAGACCTTTTCCCTTTTCTGGTTTGTTTCTGTCTGAGCAGCTAACAGGTGCTACATGCTAAAAGCAGGTGCATGCTAACAGGTGCTACATGCTAACAGGCGCTACATGCTAACAGCAGTTACATGTTAGCAGGCGCTACGTGCTAACAGCAGGTACATGCTAACAGGTGCTACATGCTAAGAGACTCTACATGCTAACAGGCGCTACATGTTAACAGCAGCTACATGCTAACAGGCGCCACATACAAACAGCAGCTATATGCTAACAGCAGCTACATGCTACCAGGCGCTACATGCTAACAGGCGCTACATAC